CTTAATCCGCTGATGAAACAATTGACTTGGTGGTTAGGAGGAAGATACCCCACTTTAGTGAGTAGCCTTTCAAATTGAGTTTGGTAGTCTAGAACAGTTCCAATTAATTGCAACTTACTCCAAAGAATCTTGGAATTGGGTAGGACCGTTCCTAGCAATCCATCACAAAATGTCTATCAGGTCATTTCGCATCTTTCTTGTTTGAATAGTTGGTACCACAGTTGAGTGTCACGCTCCAAATGGAAGGACGCAAGAGCCACACGTTCTTCTTCTGGTGTTTGATGGAACTAGAAAAAATTGCTCCACCCTGCAAGTCCATCTCGTCGTGTCTTCTTCACCATTAAAGCGGGAAAAATTGTGTTTGACAAACTTTAGAGCGAAGGACTGCTCCGATCTATTTTAACGATTTCCATTGGTGTTCCCAAGTCGTACTCCATAGTTTTGGAGTGGAGCCCTTGAGTTCTCCCATACTTCAGGTTCAATATTAACTGGATGTAAACTAAGCTTTTCGAATAGCTCGTTAAGCTTGTCCATTATCTGTTGCTATCCAATATTGAGAGAGCTCACATCATCTTCCAACTTCTCCACTCGCTGATCCATGCCTTTGTTATAATACCACAATAGCACGTACTGAGGAGAGTTATTCTTGTTCTTTGACGTACCTATTTTGCTGATGCAGCAGAAAACAAGAACAATTAATGAGTAGTGAGTAAAATAGGTTTAATAGAGGAAACTTGGCCTCGTTAACATACAAGTGTTGGTTGGGGTTCAAAAGCTTCCCTCCCAAAAGATTACTTCTCATTAAATACTCAAGCCACGTTGATTACAAAAAAATAACCAAAAGATCAGCTTCTACTTACTACTCATGTAATCTACCCGATAAATCTAAGAAAATAGCTAAAATATCAGCTTCTATTAACTGCTTATGTAAATCTACCCAAAGACTCGGTCAACCCGATATACACGACTCTATTAACTACTTCTACACAATTCTACATGAGATATACATACCCATACCTGCCTTATTTAACATATTTATCATTAAAGAAGAGCTACATGTTAGGCACGTAACAGAACCCGACCCAACACTTGGAGTGCCAAATTGACTTCTCCATAATAGTATTGGCTCGGCACCCCAAGTATTGAACCAGCCTTTTGGAAAAATTTTTGTTTGGTTTGGCACTTAAAGTGCTAGACTAGTTGAAAACAAAAAACACAAAAGAAATAGTAAAGGACCAACCTTTTGGAAAAATTTCTTTTTAGTCCTGCACTTCAACTGTTAGCATTTCTGAAAACAATTTTTTTTTAAAAAAAACTGAAATGAGAGAGAGATAAAAAAAAAATTGAAATGAGAAAGATAGAGAGGAAGATGGGGGTGAAGGGTAGGTGTTTGGGGGATATAACCCCTCCTCCTGACCTACCGTTTCATTTATTTCCAATTGTTTTTAGTTGGTCTAGCATTTGAAGTGTTGAACTGACAAGACATATCTGACAAGGGTGTTTTCGTAAAAATTAAAACCTAACAAACCCAAGTGTGAAAGGTGGAAAATTAGATTAGTTTTAAATTCAAAGGTAAGAAGAGATTTTTATGTGAATTTTCAAACTATTCAAGGGTAATTTGTTAATTTTATTTATTTAAATTTAATCTCATTTTCTATACAATAGAATACACTTACATGTCAATATAAAAAATATTAAAAATTAATTGAAAATAAATAAAGTTACCAAACTACCTATAGTTTAGGGGTAGTTTGATAATTTTATTTATTTCAAATTATTTTAATATTTTCATATGTGTATGATAATTAGGACAAATTTGAACTTAATCTAACATGTAGAACTAGAGATAAAATTAAAATACACTTTATATTCTTAAAAAAGGCCTTAATCATAAGCTATGAACTATAGTGGACTACTTTCAAATATCAAATGGAAAATAGAATTTACTTGTAAATTTCCCAAGATATCATCAACATTTAGCGTAGGGCCACTTAAATAAGACACTAAATTGCCCTGGTTGAGATTCGGTCTAAGAACATAAAATTTAGGAGATACTTGCGACAGTTAAAAGGTAACCATAGGGTTGATGACTCCAATTTTTTTTTTTAGGTTTATTTGACTAGTTAACCAATATCTTGCAATACATGGAAAATACATTTTTAGATAATCCTAAGAATTTTTATATCAAAATTGCATGTTATGATAAAATTTGGTGGTGAGCTTTAATTGGATTGTTTAAGGTTGCAACCTTATAGAAACCACACCCTTTTCTTTTTAAAGTCCTCATGGTTCTTCGTTGTGTTCTAACTTCCAACTATTGTTCGCAAAATCGTCCGATCTAACTGCTAACCGCCCGATTAGATCAGAGCCTGCCGGTTTTAGGCGGTTAGGGTGATCAACCGGTATTTAATTTTTTTTTTTAAAAAAACTGTATATAAATTCTCAAAAACAAAGAATTTGATTTGTTATACAATTTTAAATATTCTTTACATTATGGCAAAGATTAAAATTGTTTTTGGTTATTAATACCCACTTTTATACTTTCTATCTTTTTTTAGAAAATTTTAAAAATAGTTATTGGAAAATGTAAAATGGGTTAAAATCTATTTTTTTCATTAATTTTCAACTTCATTTGAATGTGTTTTGTTTTAATCATTTTTTATATGTTTTTCATATTTTAGTAGATGTGTTTTGTATTTTATAAATTTTTTTATTTTTTTTAACACTTTTTGACCTCCTAAGACATACCCGATTAGAGCGGTTGAATCGACTGATTTACTGATTAAGCCGCTTAAATCGGTTCCAACCGATTAACCGTTCTGGTTCCAACCAAACTACGCGAGGGTGTAGGTGCAGGTCCATCTCCTTTTCCTCTCTCGTCCATGTGAACAAGAAGATGCCATACCCTCGGACTGGACGGACGTACTGCGATTGACCACACAGTCCACATTTTGTAACTTGCTCCTCTTGTCTTTGGCTACTGTAAACTTTTATCCTTCTCAATTCCCTTTTATATCAAGTTCGAAATTCCAAATTTAAGTCGGGAAAAGTACCACGGTTGCTTCTTTGGCACCAAATTAATTTAACCGAAAGCTTTTTACATAACCCATCCATATATGTGGTACATGAGACCTTTGGTTTCATCCATCAGATTTGAGTAGATAACCTAAATGACTTGAGACATAATGTCATAATCTATTTTTTAACCATCAAATCTTGATATTCTACAAATAATTTTGAAAAAAAAATTAGGGTATGCATAAATCTGGCAGTTGTGCACATGATAATAATAATAAAAAAATATTTTTCATGATAAATAATTATCAGAATACCCCTAAAATTTGTAGGGGCATTTTGGTTATTTATTTTTATAGAAAATATTTGTTTTCTATTTTTTTTAAGTTCACTCTAATTTTATGATGGGATGCTCAAAATTTATCCAAAATGTTTTGTAAAAAAACAATGAAAAATAAACAGTGTTTAGCGTGACATTGAACCAGCATAATTGATCGATTCAAATCAAGCAGCTAAATAGGGTCACATATAACTTATATGTTGTTAGAGTCGCATAGAAACATTTCCTTTAATATTTAAATACCACTTATCCGTTAATAGTGTAAATGGAGGGTGGGACATTATGTTGAGCCATCCGCTCCCTTAACCACCGATACCCCAAACCCAGTTTCAGTCCGAACCCTTAGTCAAACACAAAAATTTGTAGAATGTTTGGCGGGGTAGGAAAATATCTATTCTATGGGGTCATCACCATCCCATCAATTGATGGATGGTGATGAAAGAGAGAGATAGAGAGAGAGGGGGGCTGGGAAGTGCCAAAAATGTTTACGAGAACATAACTTGTGTCGAGTTGGGGGACACCCTCAATCAAATGTGTTTCTATTGACTTGACAGAGTAGACCTTACAAATTTTTCCCTAGACAAAATTGTATCATAGTATTAAACTCAAACATGACCATTTTGAGTCTTATACACTCTCTCCATCACTATTCATTCATTTATTAAATGACCAAGATCTAACGGACCAAGATTTGGTCTTTGAGTCAAGTCATGGAACAACAAACACTATTGAGTATTGTCTAGCTTACATAAAGTTAATTTGACAAGTAGACTTGCTTAATTTCACAAGTCACATATATTCAAGAAGCTGGGCCAGTTTGAAATTTGGGAGAATGGCGGGGGCAAATATGAATAGGAAGACATGCCCCCCACATCCTCATCAATCATGCACTGCGGCTGCGGCAGGAGATGGTGTCTTATACAAGAGAAGAAGAAGGTTATGGGTAAAGCGGGAACGTTTAAAAACAAATTTTATATAAAAGAAAGAGAATTTTATATATGAAAAAACATTCAATATATATATATATATATATAAAAAAGAAGAGTTTGTATCTTATATAATAGAAGAAGAAGGCTATGGGTAAAGCTGGAACATTCAATAACAAATTTATATAAAAGAAAGGGTTTAAGTTAGAGGTTCATTTTATGTATATAGTGTAAGGCCAACGGTGGGCTGATCTAACGGTCACAACTGTATTTTGTATTTAAATATGAATATTTTTTATATAAATCCATTCACATAAAATTTGAGCTTTCTCATTAAGGCACATCTAATAAAAATATCAAAACAATTATTTAAAAAAAATAAATTGATCAAAATAACTTTAAAAATTTCAGAGGTAGTTTGGTTAATTTATTAAATATATCTAATATTAAAAAATAGATACTTAAATTTTAAATAATTTAAATTTATAAAAACAATACAATTCAAATAAAAAATATAACCATGACTATTAAATCCATCCAGCTGACCTCACCACGCCTTAACACCCAGACATTAACTATATAAAATTATAAATAAAGAGTTAAGTAAGAAGTACATAAATGAAAGAGTTAAGAGAGAAGTCGAATGGTCCCCATTTTGACCACGCTTTAACACCCACACATAATAAACCCCAGTTCCCAATACTTCATCTTCTCCCCTCATTTTCGTCACATACAATATTATTTATAAGTATTTTTTATTATATTATTATTATTATTATTATTATTTTTGTTTTGGTATGCTTTGGATTCTGGAACAAATGATATTGGCATAACTCTTCTTTTATTCCTTCCCCCTTCACATTTCCTCCAATCCAATCCCTGCTAACCCAAACAGCAATGGCCACCCCAATAAAACCAACCTCTCCTCTCCTTTTCCTTTGGCTTCTCACTGTTGCTTCTGCCCCTCTTCTGCTGCAAGGTAACTTATTAAATCTCTCTCTCTCTCAACATATTTTCATTTCATTACAATTACAGTCCAATTGACATCAGTGAATGTGGTTTAGAAGTGGGTGCAGCTGAAGAGACAAAGATACACATTCAAGAATCAGGCCACTATGTCTGGGTTTCCAACCTAGACGAGAAATCACAGGTGATTAAACCGAAAGAACATCCATAACCCCCCGCCCCCGGAAAAAAGAAAAAAAACAAAATCGGTTTTTAGCTGAAACTAATTTCCTATGGGCGACCACGATTCACTTTTTTTATAGTATTTATAAGTTGTGGATTTTTCATTTTCGGTTTTGCATATAAAGGAGGCTGGAGGGGAAGGCATGTTGATGTCGAGATGGAGAGGTGGGGAAGCGAGGAGGTTGATGATTGGTTCGACGAAGCCGACGTGCACATACAACGAGTGCAGAGGGTGCAAGACCAACAAATGCAGAGCCGAACAGATACCCGTCGACGCGAATGACCCTCTTAACAGTGCCTACCATTACAGATGTGTATGTCACAGGTAACAAAATCAAATAAATGTGCTCTCTCTCTGTGTCTTGTTCATCACAAATAGAGCAGAAGCTGAGTTAGGATGCCTCAAAATTGTAGAGAGAGAAAGAGACTTGATCGAGTTAAATTGTTTAGAGCATATTTTTTGTGTTTATGTATGCTCTCTGTGAGTTTTGTTGTGTGAAAAACTGGAAGTCTTAGTTGTTAGCTTTGATTGTGTTAATTGTATTAGAGAGTTGGAAAATGATTATGTATTGTGGTTTATCCCTTTCCTCCTCGATTAACAGTGAGGAAAGCCTTTCGTGTTTGTTGTTTACAAAGGGGAGAGAGACCCAGCTGCTTGAGTGAGTCATTAGTGTGTATCAATTATTGCAGTTTGTGTTTTGTTTGTACTCTCTCTCTTAACCCTATCTTCTTCTTTCACAGTAAATGCGAGGACACACTTTCTTGAGAATCAGGTGCACCAATTATAGAATTTCTTTCTCATGATTTTTTCCCTTATTTTGTTTTTTCTCTTCGCCCTGTTAGGCGTTAGCTTACAGCCCGTTCAGTGGAAAAGGGGCTGTTTAGAGCCGTGAAAAACCACGACTCGGCCCATGTCGAAAGCCAAGTAACTCGGGCTGCATTCGGGTCGAGTCTGCTAAGCTAAAAGTGTTAAAAGAAAATAGCAAAAATCCTAGTAAACAGGAAAAAAATATTTTAAAGTAAAATTAAACAAAATACATTTAAATGAAGTTAAAAAAGTAGTGAAAAAATGGATTTTGAAAAAATAAATTTGTGATGGGCGTATTTTTGAAATATATTTTAAAAAATGGAAAATAAAAAAATTAGTACACTTTCCAATATTTGATTTATCTCCCTCAGTGTTCAAGCACTTGGCCCAATCCTTGCCGAGTTACTCCGACTTGGCCCATTCTCAAGGTGAGTTTACGGGGTGAAACTTGGGTTAATTAGTAAAAAAATAAAATATTAAATTGTCAGCTCAATAAGTATTTTATATGTAATTTGACTGCTTTAACTAACCAAAAAGTTTTTGATGTTTCTGTCAATTATTGGGAAGTTTTTTAAGTATATGCCGTATTTTATATTTCATTTTTTATTGGATTTTTCTGAAAATTTGCTAACTATGAATTAAATTTTCCTAACTACATTTTTTCAGCATATGTAGATTTTTTATGTTTCTATTTTTCTTTTTAACTCTTATTATCTTAGTTTATTTTTAATAATTTTTTGAATTTACCTTTTATGTTGTAAGCATTTTTGACCCGTAAAACTGCTTGGGTGAGTCCAAAAATAACTTGGCCCGGGCTAGAACCGAGTCCATGTCCATAGCCGAGTTACGAAACATCGATCTCCACTCTCCATGTTAACAATGGATATCGGAAGCTAATTTTAAGCGCACAAGTTGTCTATGCTATAATTTTCTTTTCTTTTTGAAACATGAAAACTTAAAAGAAGAAACAAAGGGAAATATTGGTAAGCCCATTGTTATTTAATTGTTCTAATGGTCTTGAGCTACTTGTAAAGACTTAGGCCCATTTAAGCACCCGAGACTAAGGCAGCCATGCTTTTGCTTTGCATACACTCGCTCACTCAAGAGTAAAAAGCATGCCAGCTTTGGTCCACCCTTACTCACATGGTGGCCCAGAAAATGACCAAAATACCATATAATCTTATTTTTCCTTTATTACCCAAATATGCAGAATTTCTTTTATATTACTTATTTATATGGCCTTGACCACTCAAGATTATATTTAATTATTTTTTTCTTTCGGGTTGGGTCAGAACTACAAAGTAAGACTTGTGAACTGTGGCCCAAGCTATTTTTGGGTCAGGTCTAGCCGGCCAGATCCAAAAATATATATAATGTATATTTATATTAAAATATATAAAGCTCTTGTTTGGATGTGTTTTGTTGTCATTAATGATTTGCTATTGCAATAAAGTTAATCTCGATAATAAAATATTTTTGTTTGCTAATGTCCCTCATAAATTATCTTAAATAAACTTATTGGCAATTTTAAATATTAGTTTATCTATTTAAAAAGCTACTTTTACAGTTTTTTCACAAATAAATTGGAAAAAATAAAAGTTATTAAAATTAGATAATTAAATATAATATACGCTATATACCAAACAACTAACAAAATAATATGATGCAGTGTATTAGTTTGAAATAAAATGATTTACTCCGGATAAGATTAAATATGCACATAATCCTTTTTTGTTCGGGCCCAAATTTTCTATAAGCTTGTTTTAACTGTTCGGCTCTGTAAGGAAATCAGATAGGGAATTTAATTTTTATTTTTATAGGGAGAAAAAGCAATTTCTATATTTTGCTCTCAAAATAAAGAAAATAATTTTTGGCAAAAAAAAATGTCCACCAAAGATTTTGGATCCAAAAGACAGAAATGAATTATCTCCCAAAAAACGAATTTTGATGACTCAAGAGTTGAGGTCTAACAAATCCCTCATATGCGTGATATAAGACTTCATAAGCTCTATATATATATATATATATATATATATATATACAA